GCAACAGATCCGAAGCTCATTTCAAGTGTTGAACAATCCTCAAGCACAGCAAGGCTGCTCCTGTGGGTCATCCTTCTCTGTCAAACTTTGATGCCATGACAAGTGACCCAGAGAGTGCCACCATTTGTACCAACTTGAGGAACCTCAAACTTGTAGAATTCTAGAGGTTTCTTGTAATCATGTCCCTCTCAATTTTATTTCCTCGGTCCAGAGGTGTTGTGTTTTGCCACTATTATTCCCAGAATATGAAGTTAAAACTGTGACTTTGATTAAATGCCGCTGCCCGTTCACGCCCTCCCCTATTCTAAGTCCTACTTCTTAGATGCTGTTTGTCAGATTTAGTAACTAGTATAGTCTTCATAAAGTCTCCAGGATTCCAAAATCTGAGTTGCTTCTCTGGCCTTCAGAGCTGCTTGTACATATGTGGATAGCTATGCATAAAAGCCTCATTTTAAAGAAAGTCCTTATTTAATGTTTTTTGGACCCCCCACAATTAACTGAATTGCTTGAAAACGTGCCTCCATCCTCATACAGACCTTTCAAGATTGTGACCATGTAATGACTATCTTTCTAGATAGTCATGTTTTTAGTATCTATGTTACTTAGAGTATAAAATAGTTCTGGTCTTAAGCATAGTAGGAAGTGGCCCCTTTGTTAGTATAGATAATAGATACTTATGGGTCTTCTTTTAGGTTTGCTTACCAGATAAAATTTAGAATATCCAGTTAAATTTGAATTTCAGGTAAACCACAAATAATTTTTTAGTTCAAATATATACCAAATATTGCATGAGACTTATTAAAGATTTTTTGCTACTTATCTGGTGTTCAAATTTCAATGTGCATACTGTATTTTGATTTGTTAAACCTGGCAACATTAGGGTCACAGAAAGAAAGCTTTTTTGTGATACAACTCCAGTGAATTTTAAAGTACCCAAATAGCACTTAAATAGGTGCTAAGAGCTAGAAATAGCTGTGGTATGTGTATGATAGTTCCCAGGGAACCAGAAATACATCGGCAGACAATTAAAATACAGAAAAAAACACCACCACTATGACAAGTGTCTTACAACCAAGTTGATTCTGGAAGAATCAATCGAGAACACTGGTTAAATCCATCCTTGCTCAAGAAATTAAAAGTTTGTTATAGCAAAAAAAAAAAAATAGTATGGTGTTCCCTGAATTAAATATTTATTTTTGTACACGGTTGTTTTGTACATTTTGTTACTTTATAGTGAAATTGGCCGCGGGTAAATTTCCTTTATATTTCTAGTACTTAAAAGGATACTCATAACAGACATTCAGCGAGAGTTCCTTCAGTGGATGAATCTGAATGGACATATATATGTAAATATTCAAATGACTTGTATAATTGTACATTCTCAAGTGCCCCCTCCACAATATTTATAGACCTTGACTTGATATAATTTTCTGATCTTCCCTTAATCTCCAATTTTGTAATGAGATACCTGGGAATAGTAAAGGAAACCATGCTATACTCTCAGCAAATTGATAATTTAAAGAAAAATCTAGAATGATTCAATTAAACTTATGCTTGTTTAAAATGGTGCTTCTTAATGACTATGACTCATCCATTCTTGTAGGCTGCCCTTGAATGCATCAGGTTAGACTAACAGAAGTTTGTAGGAAAATAAGGCTCAAATGTATGAGAATTATTTTCTGAACTTTATTGACTTCACATTGATGATTGCATCATCTTACGTTATTTACAAATTAGAATCTTCTTTTTTTGTTAAAAAAAAGATTTATTCATGCATAGAAAAACTGGGGTACAGCCAGAGGTACAGGGGATTGAGAGGATTCACCAGAGATAGAGTGGGGAGCAGAACAGGCAGATGGACTGAAAGACTTCTGGGGTTGCGGAGAGGGAACAGGAGAGGTCTGCGTGCCCTGTGGGTCAGCTCCCTCTTTGGGGGTTGAGCTCATGCTGCAGGGGCTGCAGATAGCTTCATAGTGCAGAGACTTAACCCTTGTGCCACTTGGGAGGCCCCCCGCTTTTTTTTTAATCACATAGTGTTTGGAAGCGTTTGTTTCTCTAATTGTACAGAAGGGGAGAAAAGGACGGAGACCTCGTGCCCCTTGACAGTGTGTGCTGTTATCTCTGGGGCTGGAGGTGTAGAGGTGGTAGCAGTGGGCATCCGAGGAGGGGGCGGGAAGACGGGAGAAACTTGCAGCTAGCACAGGGTCTGAGCTTTTCTTGTCAAAAACAATCTTTTCATAGCAGGAGATTTGTCTCCTTTTGAAACCCCGGGAGAATTTTGTTACCTTAAGGAAGGTTTCAGCCAAGTCAGTTGAAGTCCATAAAGTGAAACGCGCCGTGGACAGAAGGAATACTCCAAGGGATGAGAGGGGAGGGGCAGGCCCCGGTGGAAATGTCCTGTCCTAAGGAGGGCTAGCACGGGGCAGCCATGACAGTCAACTTGGCCTTTTCTGTTTTGTTTTTTTTTTTTTTTCTTCCTGAAACATCACCTTTTGACTGAACCTTTTTTGTTTTTTTCCCTTTTTCTTCCAGTTCCCGACACCCTCTGACTTCCCCTGTGTAGAGTCACAGAGACACAGTTAAAAAGCAGGGAGGAGGGACTGGGCTCTGGCTAGTGCTTACTGTCAGCTGTGTGGAGTGTTCTTTTCCTTCCTGTTGTAGTGGCTTGTTCTCCAGGCAGGGTGACTGCCTAAAAGCATGTGCGCTCCAGAGTGTGATGACTTGGCATGAGTTGAGTAGAAAACCTCACCCTTCTATTATTTCCAATTAGAGCTCAAAGATTAGATTGAGACACAGTGAATGTGATAGCCCTGACTGCTGCCAGTCTCTTCCTTGCTCCCAGTTGTTTACTTGCCTCACTAGAGCTGTGTCAGGGTGCTCTGCCTTCCTGGGTTCTTCAAGGGCAAGTCTGTAGTGCCTCTGTGGAGGAGCTGGACGGGGTCCTATTGTTAATGCTCAGCAAACATTGCCCTGTGGCCCAAGTGAGTCTCACCTCTTCTGAACATAGAACCGTACTTGTTGACAACTTATTTTGAGTCCTAGTTCCTTGCGGCCAAGTGCACCCTAACCTCTCCAATCCCTGTGTGTCTAAGATCCAGAGTTGGCAGCCAAAATGGGGTTAGCACTGGAATCAGTGACTGCAAATTTCCAGATCCTCCGAGGGAACTGAAACAGTAGGGATTATGGGATGTGGATGTCATATCTCATCTGCTTCCTATTTATGTGATAGTTTGGTTGGTGAATTAACAACACGTTCTGGGGGGCTGCGGGCCCACTCCTGTCAAAAGGATCCTGCCGTGTCGTTTCTCATTTCTAGATTCTGTTTCTAAACTGCTCAAGACCAGACTCCTCCTCCTTCCTTGACTTCTGCCTCCTCCCCCCGCCCCGCCCCGCTGCCCTCAGGCTGCTGCCCTCTTCCTGTCCTGCTGGCACAAGGCAAGCAAAGTCTCAGCTCTCTTCCTCTGCCATCCTACAGATACTCTAAAGTTTTTCCAGTTGCTCCTTGCACTCGTCTCATGGCTGGTTCCTCTTTATTTTCCCATGATTCCTGCCTCTAGTGTTCAAGGCCTGCCCCTCCCTGGAAGCCTGGCCTCTTCCGCCCTTTTCGCCACATGCTTTTCTTAAAAAGCACACATCCCTTTGCTCTTCCCGCCCTGTGCCCCCTGCTTCTTCTGAGTCCCCAGTGATGCAATTATTTGGGTACCTTCTGTCTTCCTGGGTTGCAAGCTTCCCAGTGTGAAACGGTGTGTTTGCCGTCTCCAAACTGCACTTAGCATTGTTTAAAAAACACTGGCCCAAGTTATCTATACTATCATCTGTACTGGCACTTGAGAGATTGAAGCCATTTTTAAACACTTAAGAAGAAGTGAGTTCCATTTTAACTAAATTGATGCTTAGATGTTGCTTTGAGGTTCAGAGGTCAAAGGCCACGGACCTCTGACCCTCCTTTCCCCTTCCCTCTAAGATCCTATAGCAAGTGTTTAGTGCTTTTGGAGTGTCACAGCCAGGAAGAGTCCTTTTCCTTCAGAAAAGGGCAGAGGCAAGTAGACGGAGGCATGTACTGCCACACGCTTTCAGGAAGTCTCTGAACAAAGAGACTGTAACTTGATAAACTCTTACGGGTGGCTTGTGCTGTCAAAAATTTTACTTTCTAATAATTAACCCAAGTTCTCAATCCTGTTCCTAATGTCAATTTTATGATTGTTTTTTCTCTTACAAAACTTGAGCTGGAAATTTCCAGAAGTATCTCTCCTCTCCCGCAGCCCCATCAGTGGGAAAAATACCATTTTTTTTTTAGACCTAGTTTTGTGTTTCCGTGACACCCACCAGTCCAGACACTGCTTGCTGAATGAATGAAAGAGTGTACTAGTCTCTCCACTGACATCAGCTGGCCCTGGGCCCTCTGCTTCTGCCCATCATATAATAATCATAGCTTGATTTCCCCCCAAAACCATCTTGTCAGTTTTTGCTGATTAAAACTGTAGGAGTTCCCAGTGATTTTTAAGATGAAAATGCCCCAGCTACTCATGAAGTACTACTCTGGAAAAAAGAGAATGTAATTTTTTTTTTTAAGAACTTAATTTTCATATACATGCAAATAGTAGTCTTGGTGAGTCATAGGTATATACGTGTGATTTTCCTTAGTGCTGTGTAAACAAATTGCTTCCTTATATCTCCGGTTAGTTCATCTGTATCCACTTCCACTTTTGGAATCCATTGTCAAGCAACTTGTTTTCTTAACTTTTTATATCACTACTAGGGAAAATATTATGTTTATTGATACATATGAATTTTTTTCTTTTAAAATGATCACACTCACTTCTTAAAAATATGTGTACCCATGATTAATCCACTGGTGTTATTTTCCTGACTCTAAAGAAAGGAACTTTTAAATAAATTAGTTATTGTCTTCTGCGTTATTGAACATGTGGGCAGTTGTCATGTTCATGCATCCAAATGATCAAAGTCTGAACTTCTGTCTAATTCTCCCCTGCTGCTAGGCTACCCTGTCATGATCAAGGCCTCAGCAGGTGGCGGCGGGAAAGGCATGCGGATCGCTTGGGATGATGAAGAGACCAGGTGAGATGCTGTCCAAAATATACTTTTGATGAAAATTGCAGCTCCCAGTTTTATTAAACTGACAAGTAAACAGATCCCAAAGCATAAAGGAAGAAATACAATAGCCATCTAATTGTTACTCCTGTAGATAGGAGAAATAATTGGGAATGCTCTAGAAAACGCCTTTATTTATATTTTGATGATGATTATCCTATTATGGAAAGATTTTTATTTTCTTAAAGATTAACAAAGCATTACTTTTTTTCCCCCAGTAGATTACAATTATGCTCATGATCCTGTTTTCCAAGCAGAATTCACTGGTTTTTAGCTGTAGAATATGTACTCAATGTATTCTTGCTTTCCTTTGTCTACAGAAGTAGTGAACTACTTTGATAATTTTATGATATGAAATATATTTTCTTTTAAAATTTAATATTACTGTATTTCCCCTATATATGTAGTGTCCTCTCTTGCAAATGTGGAACACTTTCTTATGAATACTGTTAGAAATCAAAAGTAACTCTTTTTTTTTTTTTTTTAAGATTTTATTTATTTGTGCATACAGAACTGGGGTACAGGCGAGAGGCTCAGGGGCGGTGAGAGGCTTCACCAGAGACAGAGTGGGGAGCAGAACAGGCAGATCCACGAAGTACACTGCTGAGGGGAGCAGAGGGCGGGTCAGGAGAGGTCTGCCACGCCATGTGGTCACCTCCGGGGCTGGCGGGAATTGAACTCCTGCGGAAGCGGCTTTAGATTCTCAGTGCTGTGCTTTAACCCGCTGAGCCATCAGGGAGGGCCCCAAAAGTAACTCTTTAAAGACAAAATTTAGAAGCCCTAAGGCATTTGATTGATACACCTCAGTATTTGACAAGAAATATTTTTTTAAAACTCCCTCATAGGAACAGATTTTAAAGGGCTCTGTTCAGATTTGTGTCATCTATTTTCAGGCATAGCAGCAAGAGAGTGAGGGAGATGTCTGAGTGTTATGGAAGAGGGGTGAAAACAAATCATTGAACTGGTTTTGTTGATGTTGTCTTTCCTGCCCTTCAGAGGGAATTTGGTCTTTCACCTGGTTTGTTCTGATTCTTCCTTTCTTTTCTTTTTCCTTTCTTCCCTACACTCCCAAGTCTCTTAGAGCGAATTTTGGAGTAGTTAGTGTGAACATCATCTAGTACAAACCTAAGTAAGAAATTAGGTTATAAAGTGAACAACTAAGGTGAAAATCCTTATTATCTTGTAAAATCTTTTGGGAAACCACCATATCAGAGACTTGAGCAGATAGTTGTATGTAGTCTCAGAACACCATGGTTTTTTGGTTGCGCTTCCGAGAAAGTGTGTGGCTTGTGTTGAGAGGAGTTGCTGTATGGCAAATACAGGTCTTTAAGAACCTGTCTCGGGCTGGTGTAAGAAATTACACAGTGCAGCACTGTGAAGCTATCTGTAGCCACTGCAGCACGAGTTTGATCCTCAGCCAGGGAGCTGACCCACAGGGCGCAGCAGACCTCTCCTATCAGGCCTGCTGCTCCTCTCAGCGGTGTATTTCATTTAATCCTTCTGTTCTGTTTTCCCACTCTGTCTCTGGTGAATCCTTTCACCCTCCCACACCTCTGGCATGTACGCCAGTCTGTGTGTGCACAAATAAGTAAATAAATCTAAAAATAATAATAAAACCCTGTTTCTCTAGTGACTCTGATACCAGATACGGACTGAGGTAATTTCAGATTCTCTTTCCCATGTTAAGCTTACCCAGCAAGAATGAAACCACGTGTGGGTTGGCAATATTTGTTGAGAGCCTGCTGTGTGACAGGCACTGTATTAGTTTCCAGAAATAGAGTCATGGACAAAACCAGACAAAATAAAATGTTCCTCCCTGGAGTTTATATGCTAGATATGTATTCTTACCCTTTGAATTTATGGAGCCATACCATTCAGGACTGGTTCATGAACGTGGATGAAGAATAAAAGGTATATATTTTGTTGAGTAGTCTCCTTCGGGAATTTAGCATTTCTTCCAAGACAGGCAGCAAAGTAATGTGGAAGTAATTGCTGTGGAACTTTTTACTGTTTAGAAAATCACACAGTTGATTACATTACAGTTTTAAATGTCTCTTAAATTACAGTGATTGTGGACATGTCACTGGAGCTTACTCCTGGGTCAAGAACCATACCCCTTACCCCAACTTAGTTATTATTTTTTAAATTTTGAGTAAAATTTGTTTGCTATGCATATTTCTTCATGCATTTTAAATCACCTTAAGCCTTAACTTGAGAAGAGTCCCATAGGCTGCATGACTCATGCCATGCCCAAGGTTCAGTGCAGGAGGAGACAGTGAACAAAGCCAGAGAAGATCTGTTGCCACTGGGGAAGGGAGGGGTCAGTGGGGTAAGAAAGAGCCCTGGGCGTTGTTGGAGGGAAGTCCCATGCTAAACAGACTGGTCAGGGTTTTCCTCACGGAGGAGACACATTCCAGCATGGAGTTAAGCATCCATGCCAGGGAGGTGCACATGCCTTCCCTGAGCCAATCTGGGATCGACACGGTCACCAGCTGGCGAGGGCAGAACAGGGGAGATGGGCTGAGGGCTCGTGGGTGTAATGGGGGTCTGGTGTAGTGGACCTTGCGGGTGGCTGTTAGTGGGATGGGAAGCTACTGGCGAGTTTAGCGTGGAGAACGTACACTCCTAGCAATTCAACAAATTCCTAACATTATTTTTTTAAAAACTATCCGCACATTGAAACATACAAAGAAATAGACCCATAACCTCTAAATGCAGTGGACCTCTCCACAGTGACTCGGGCTTCCTCGCAGTATGGCGGCTTTGGTCTTCTGAGATCATGAACATGGGGCTCAAGGACAGTTGTTTCAAATCCAAGTGGGAGCTGTATTACTTTTTTTTTTTTAAATAATATAACAGTTTATTTTTGCATCATTTTGTGCCTTTTTCCATCTCAGTTGTAATCCCCGTGGGCTTCCCAGCACCAAATCACCCGTGTGCCATCACCATAGTCCAGTGCGCTACCCTCCCCCCACTGTTTTTGATTCTATTTCCCGCTCCACCCCGTAAAATGTCTCTGGTTATATAGCTGTTCATCATCATCATCATCATTATTATTATTATTTTCTCTCCTGCTATGAGTGAAACCATCCGGTGTTTTTCCTTTCCTTTCTGGTTTATTTCACAAAGCATGATCCCTTCCAGGGAGCTGTGTTACTTTTAATGATCCAGCCTCAGAAGGCATACAGGTTCCTTCCAGCACTTTCTCTTGCCCTTCAGTGAGTGCACATCAGCTCAGATTCAAGGGAAAGGGCCTCACCAGGGAGTGGCGCCCCTGAGATGAACTCGGGAAATGGGCTACCTGGTGGTGGCCTCCTTTGGGAAGGACAATTTGCTGTGGCCCCAACATAGGAGACAAAGCTGTGGTGATGATGTCAAGCACAACTAAATGGTTTTAAAGATGTGTATTTTCTCACTTGATCTTTTTTTTTTTTCTCTTTTGTGTGGCAATTCCACTGTGAAAACCTTAGCATTTGTTTTTCATTACTCTTCTTAGGATCCCTGACTTCTTGTCATTCTCCAGAGCTGCCATTACTAACATATTCTTTTATGGTGCGGATTACGTCTCACGGTTTCTGGGCACTGAACTTTGCTATGCTGCTGTTAATCTATAGATTTAAAGAAAAGGTATATATTTATGCATACAAGAACTGGGGTACAGTCCTGAGGTGCGGGGGGTTTTTGTGTGTATGTGTGAGAGGAGTCACCAGAGACAGAGTGGGAAGCAGGACAGACAGATGCCTGAAATAACAGCATGGAGGGGAGCCGCAGGTGAAAGACAGGGCTGTCTGCTGCGCCCTGTGGGTCACTCCCTGGGCAGGGATCCGATCCAACTCCTGCTGCGGGGGCTGCCACAGCTTCATAGTGCTGCGCTTTAACCCATTGTGCCACCAGGGAGGGCTAATCTATAGATTTTTAATTTAGAATTCAGTATTTTCAGAAATTATTATATCCGTTCACATATTGGTCATCATTTTGTTAACACTTTAATCCTTTCTTGGCCTATAATCAATGCAAAAGAAGTTCATGTTATTACTAAGTATGTCCGTAAATCATTTTCTTAATATATGACTCTTTCCAGCTTGATAAATAAAGCAGCTCTGAAACAAAGATATAACACTATTTGATTTAACGATGCATGCTCCTCATTTTTTTAAAAAAAGTTGCCCTCTATTTCAAGTTAATTTGGAAAAATCAAATGTGCAGAAAAATGGAGAGACCAGCCCGGAAAATACCATCTATCTGCGACTTCTGGCGTCACCAGCTGTTCGTGTCCTGCTGTGCAGGATCTGTTGCTTCTTCCCGCCTTCTTCCTAGAGAAGAAATTTATTTTTGCATAATCTGCAAAAATTTCAGTTTTCTTTGGAAGGAAAACTTAGTAGTAGTTAATTACTTTAATCTTTCTCTGAAGGAGTGCCGCCCTCATCCAGCATCTTTCTTAAGCTTTTTTCAGGGAAGTAGCCACTATCATTGGTCTTGAATCTTTAGAACATCTAAGTTTAAAAATGATCAGGCTTGTTGTTTTTACATAATAGATTAGAGCAAGTGTGATGAAGGCTATTGAAAGTAGACACAGGTCTTTTCATCCTCTCTGGCTTCCTTTCCCCTGACCAAAGTTAAGGGACGTATTTCGGCACAAACGGAGAAGGGATCGCGTCTGCATTTGGGAATATTCCCACGAGTTTAGGTATCGGGGAGACTGTTTCTGTTTTATTTTTGTATCCTCAGCACCTAGCAGGCATTAGGTACATAGTTCTGTGGTTAGTGAATAGTTACTGACTGCATGTATAACTGAGGCCAGTGTTCTTGATGCAGTTTTTCATGAGCTCCTCAATAATGCTGCAGATGTTGTCAAACTTGATAATCTGTGTGAGTGCCTCTGATTTTTCACTTTTGATGTTCTTAACTTAAATGCAAAATGAGAGCTTTCAGTCATTACAGAAGAGACAAGCTGTAAAGTACTGTGTTTTTTCCTGAGTCACTGTGTCCTGTCTAATAAGAAGGTATTTATATGGTATTGAGAACAATGAGTCACTGTACTTTACTTTCTTTGAGGTTTGCAGTCTCCTGAGACCTGAAGCCCATTCCCTTAAATCAAGAAAGTACTGGAGAACTAAGAAAACTGATACCTTTCCCCTGAGATCTTTGAGAAATAGGACCTTTTGCAATATGTTTTAAAATTTATGCTTAGTGTTTACTTGCAATACTTGCCTGTTCAAGTATAGAAATAAATAATTATTTAAAATATTGCTGATTGCTGTTGGCAGATGAAAAGGTTGGAGGAATTTTAATGTCGTACATTGAAAATGGGTATTTAATCTGAAGATTAATAAGCTATTAACTGTAAAATTACATATCGATTTTATATTCTGAATATAACACCGGATGGGAATCTGTATCCTTAATTACCCTGGCTGAATCAGCTCATTTCCTCGTGTATGAGTTGAGTAAAGCTGTTGAGTAATGTATGCGTGTAATCATAGTGGCTTCAGTTACATAGTTTGCGAATAAAATGTGTAAAATAATAATTCAATCCGTATTTTTGTTTAAAAAAATTGTACTCTTGTAAACAATTGTGAACAATTTTAAAAAAGATGGTCATGAATGTGGGAGGCAGTTGCTTCAGCGGTGTCTTTTAGATGCGAGTGACGCCTTCGCACCCTCCTGCCGCTCGCCCCTCCTCAGTGCCTCTGCTGCCCTTCTGGTCCGTTGGGGCGGTAGACTCGGGCCTTCTGCATGTCTGTGTGCACCTTCTCACTTTTGAGTCACAGGAATAACTGTGTTTATGGATTTTTTTTGTTAGTGGGATTAATGTGTATTAGATGGAGATGGAATTTTATATGATTGCACGGCTTATTGAATCATCTCATTTGTAACAGCTGGGGAAATACGAGTTGATGTTACTGCTCCGAAAAGAATATCTAGGATCTGGGAAAGAAAACGACTCACTGAGGTCACACACAGCTCATGAGGGGGAAGAATTGCAGTTCAACCAAAGTTAATTTAGTTTTTTTGTGTGTGAAGTGACTTTTTCCTCTGATTTGCTCGGGATTGAGCCAGAAAGTTTTGTTGATTTGCTTTATAATGAGGACTGTATCTTTTGTTTGTTTGACTGTTCATCTGTTTTCCTTTACAGGGATGGTTTTAGGTTTTCTTCGCAAGAAGCAGCTTCTAGTTTTGGTGACGATAGATTACTAATAGAAAAATTTATTGACAACCCTCGTCATATAGAGATTCAGGTTGGTACAGATTAAAATGCTTTCTAATTACTATGACTAAATATCACTTATTCTGATTGGAAATAACTTCTTCCATTCAGAGTGACTGAATTGTTCTAGTAAGTTTGAGTAAGTAAAAGGCGAAATCTGTATAACTTGATTCCTATCTCAGGAATCTGTTATACTTTTGTCAAGAGGGTGTGACATCACCATGATCTTTTTTACTTGATTATTCTTTCAGTATCTCTATAAAATAATAAGCCTATATCACCTGCTATTTATAATTCATGAGAAACTGATTTGCCTAGGGAAGTGGCAGAGCTGTTTGGAGCTAAAATTAACGCCTAGTCATTTCACTTCGAGAACAGCTTTTACCTCTGTGAGCTTAGTAAGGCATTCAGCAACATACACCTGCTCTTTAACTCTGAAGACAGACCAATCGTTCCTGAACGCCAGCATTCTGTTTAAGAGCACTGCCTAGTTTAGGGTCGCCAGCTTAGCTAAAATAGATGTGACACTTGAATTTCAGCTAAACAAGTCCTTCCAAAGAGTAAAAATATGTCCTTTGTATTTCTATTAAAACTTTTCTTCACTGTTTGTCAGAAATTCAAATATAACTGGTGTCTGTTATTTTATCTGGCAACCCCAGCTTATTTCCATTAATACAGAGGGGAAAAATCACAATCTGTTACCTGTTAACCCCAGACCTTTTGCCAGTTTTCCTGTAACAGAAATAAAACCCAGTAACAACACCCAGCCACAAGCAACCAACAACGTAGTGGATGTAGCTAACATATAGCCTTCTTGGTTGAGGGACGTGGAGTGCGGACAAGCGGGCGCACCAGCCCCCACCTGCTCAGCCGCTGGTCCTGGGCTGCGCAGGCTGCCCTGGCCCCTCCGGGCGCCGCCCTAGGTGGGGTGCATCCCCCACCGCCTTGGAGCTGGGGCAGGGTTTTTTCCTGAAGCCTTTGTGCGTTTTCTGGTTGTAAATGCAGCCTCCGCCTAAGATCCCCCAGAAGAGGAGAGTGCCCGAGGGGCGGGGCTGTGCCCTGTGAGGCTGGAGCGCAGCAAGGAAGGGGACTTTGGGGGTGGGGGGCTCAAAGGAAGGGGACATTGGGGGTGGGGGCTCGCCATGAAATGGGGCTGGTTGTAACGATGACGCTGTTCTCTCAGGTCCTAGGTGACAAACATGGCAATGCTCTGTGGCTCAACGAAAGAGAGTGTTCCATTCAGCGCCGAAATCAGAAAGTGGTGGAGGAGGCGCCCAGGTGAGGTCCGCGGCCTGCCCGCTGCCCGTAGCCCCTGCTGGACTTGGCTCGGGCCGCGAGGCTTTGAGGGGCTCGCTGGAGTCGTGTGTATCTTTAGGACAGGAGGGTGTCCCTGGCTCGTTCTCGGCAACTGCTTGCACGAAGGTGAGAGAACGCTCAAGGAGTCGGGGTTTCCTCAGAGGAGAAGGGCGGGTGGACCGCAGGCTTCCCGGGACGGGGCGCCCCGCCGGGCACTCAGGGGCTCGTAAAGCACCAGGACACAGAAAAGCACAAAAATAAGACAACTCAGCGCCCAGGAAACGGTGAGGCGTGCGCCGGTTTGTGGTCGGGGACCTGAGAGGAGACGAGACGGAGAGGCGGCCGCCGGCGAGGGGGCGCCCGAGCTGACTGAGCGTGGGTGCTGCTCAGTGGCAAACCCGCCAACAGGGCAGAGCCGCGAACGGGGAACCCAGGAATCCTCAGGGTCAGGCTTCGGTCTCTGCCCCAGGTTTAGAGTGCAGCAGTTCACCAGAGGCCGTTTTCCTGGTCGAAAGCCTCCCGCGCCGAAATGGCGGCTGGAAGGATGGACGCCGCAGGCAACGCGGGAGCTTAGGCCGTTGGCTGACAGAAACCCGCTGACTCACTGAGAGGGCTGACTCGGCTAACGCGCGCCTGTGGACCTCCCCGCTGCACGGGGCTGCTGGCTGAGGGAGCTTAAGAAAGCTTAGATGGGCGCTTACATGGGCCACCCAGGCCTGCTTTCGTTTGACGCGACTCCCCTTGCTTTCAGCATTTTTCTAGATTCGGAGACTCGGCGGGCCATGGGCGAGCAGGCCGTGGCGCTGGCCAAAGCCGTGCAGTATTCTTCTGCGGGAACCGTGGAATTCCTCGTGGACTCAAAGAAGAACTTCTATTTCCTGGAGATGAATACAAGACTGCAGGTAACAGCAGCCCTGACTTTGCTGCCCCGCCAGGCGGCCGCACTGGGCCCTTCCTCAACACCCCGTTTGCTTTATCAAACCTGGAAAGGGCTCCTAACTGGTCAGCCGAGATCTCCTTCTCGTGTCTGTGCGCAGGCGTGTCCTGGCACCGACAGGGCCGTTTCCCAGCCGTGTCCAGTCCTCCTCTTCACTGCTGACCATTAACCCCACTCGCCTGTTGTCCCCTCTCTCTCTTTCGCTCTCGAACCAGCGTTAGGGCTCACACTCTGTTGGAGAAGCTCCTCTGGCTGGTGTAAATAGAACGGGCCTGATGACTGACAGGGGCACCGCGTCGTTGGGAGGACACCTGGCTTGACCCTCACGTAGGGCATGGACCCGTTCCCAACCCGCGGCCAGAACCTGCCGCCACAGCAGGAGGGCGAGCGCGGTGCTGTGGGGAGCTGTTGGGAGCTGTGGGGAGGCCGTCCCAGAATCGGGGGCTTAGGGCCACGCTTCCCAGGGTCCCCGAGGGCGGTGACCCACTGGCGACTTTATTCTTCCTTCCTCCCTTTTTTTCTTATTTAAAGACAGCTACAGAAAAGACACAGAACACGGCCGTTTAGTTACAGATCTCTATAAAGCAGGCGTCATGTAGACGCCAGCTGGGTCTGAAGCCCCAAAGCCTGGTTTCTTACTCCTCCTTCCCCTCCTCAGCTACTCCTTCATCTTCCCCGAGCTAATGATGATTCTGACTGAATTCTGCACCCCTCCTGGCGGTTTCTGGACAGTTAGACTTGCGCACACCTCAGCGTCTGAATCCGTTGTTCCTTGTTAGCTTCCAGAAGAGCTGGGACCGTGAGGGTGATTTTGTGCCGGCGTCTGTGCCCGCGTCTGCAGGGTCAGCCCTGTCGTTGAGGTGCCCGTGCGCTGCTCCTTGCCCCGTTTCTGCAGATACTTACTTTCCAGTTTTCTGTGATCTGTATTAGCCAGAGCTGCCCTGTCACATTTTTAATCACCGACCTGGTGACTTAAGTCAGCAAAAGTTTGTTCGCCTAAGCTCCGGGAGACAGATCTGAAGTCTAGCGGTTGGCTGCTTGCTTCCCTTGGGGCAGGGGAGAATCTGTTCTCCGCGCTCCCTGGCTTCGCTAATGCCACTCACCCTCCGCACCCTGGCCTGGTGGCCCCGAGCCCCAGGCTCGCTGGCGTTCTCCTGGGTTCCTGTGTTCAGAGTTCTGTCTCTTTGAACGCAGCAGTGCTTGGCTTTAGGGCCCAGGCAACCCACTGTGGCCTGTTGATCACACCTGCCCAGCCCCTCCTTCCAGATAAGGTGACACTTGCGGATTCCAGGTGGACATGCGCTTTGGAAGGCCCCTGCTCGGCCCAGTTCATCACGGGATGTATCAGCATGTTGCTGACATAGGTACTTTTCTCTTTGTGTATTTTAGTCAACAGATATTTTAAAGATAAGCAGCACCCCTGGTCCTTAGCAACAGAAACACACTGTCTCGAATTGGGGGCTGGCAGCGGAGGGTAGCGACGCAGGACTGAGGGCTAGAGGGCGGCCTGCGCTTCTTCCCCTGACCTTCCTGGGCTGCCGTGGGCCGAGTCACACAGGCAGAGCTGTGTCCTGCTCGCGGGTGTTGTTACAGCTGTTTCCCTCCGTGCACCCTAGCCGTCTGGGCCATGCTCTTCCGGCTCCCTGAGGTAACTCCTGTGCGTGTCCCTGCTGCCGAGAGATGTGCGAGGGGCGCTTTCTGTGGTTTGCCTTTGGCCTCGGTCTTCGTTCTTGTGTTCTCCAGGGTCCTGCCCTCACGTGCTGGCACGAGAAGCCCTGTGCTTCTCTTTCGTGTGCTGTATCTTTGCTCTTCCTTCACTCTCTGCCAGTCTGTATTCAGATATTTTACATGATCCATGGTAACCAACATACAATTTTTTAGCCAGATTTCATCTTTGTCTTGTGCCTGGACCATTTGCTTCACAGAAAGCTAACGTCATTTGATAAACTGGTGTTTAAATTTAATCCTATTTGAAAATACTTTCTTTTTGTCCAGCTCTGTGGTTTTCCTTTTGCACATACATTGTTTGATTTTATGCCCATCTTCGGGCATAAAATAATAGCATTTCTAATCGTTTGGTAGAACATTACAGCGTACTCAGCTTACTCAAGCCTAATATCAGTAAGCTTCCATCTTTCCCAGCAGGACAGACAAGGTCCCTATGCCAAGGACCTAGGACTTTCTCTTGGCTTCTGTGCAGTCACAGGTCATTGTGATTCTTCCCTTTTACTTGAGATAGCCAGTATTTGTTGCGTTCTACCCCGTACTTACCCTTTTGCCTCAGTGTGGGAATTTACTCGGAGGTGTTGTGAGGAAGATTTTCCCTTTACTTTCTACTGCACCTGACTTGCCGCCTGGCCACACGGCCCCATCTGGCGGGTTCTCCAGCGTCAGCTTCGTTCCCGCAGTCCGCTTTGCTTCTGAGGCCCAGCCTGGAGTGGGCATCGACCCACGAGTTGCGGGGGGCTCAGCACCTCGAGACGCAGAGGCCAGTAACAAGTCCTAGCCTGTCACCTGTCCTTCCGAATGGCCCTAACTTGGGGCTCCTAGGACCACTCCTCAGGTTCCCTAATTTACTAGGCCCACTCAAGGTGCTCAGGGAGATGCACTTACTGCCTTTTTGATATGAAAGGTTATGATCAAGGATGCAGATTTCAGGCAATGGGGCCACACATGGGATGGAGCTGAGGGCTCCCGGAGATGACATGGAGCTTCTGAACCCAGGGAGGCGAAGGCCACTGCTCTGCTGGAAGGGGGACACTTTCTCCACACAGAAGTTCTCGGAATCCCGTACTTTGGGGTCTTTGTCGGGACTTGGTAGTGTAGGTCTAGTCAGTTACTTGTTAGTTTTCCCGACTCACCCCCCTTCTCCGGAGGGTGGGGGTGGGGCCGAACCTTCCCAGCTTCTAATTCTGGCCTGGTCTTTTTAGTGACCAGCCCCCATCCCGGCGCCTACCCAGTGTCACCTCATGAGAACAAAGGTGCTCCTCTCACTCAGGAAATTCCAAGGAGCTTTGGAGCAACGTGTCAGGAACCAGGGTCAAAGACCAGGCATTAGCAGGCCCTGGGGAGCCCTGTGTGCACTGCTTGTTTCGTAGTTGTGCTGCGGGGGACACTTCTGTGCTGCCAGCCAATGACGATTTTGCTTCCATTCGCGGAAGGGTTTCTTAGTTTGGTCATTGGTTTCTGGCTGACCGAAAATATTATTCCTCTGCCTCTGGGTATTTCTGGGGAGACTTCAGCTTACATTCTACTCTGCTGAATTACAGAAAATTCTGTTTTTGTACTTTTGTGAATTTCTCTCTTTTGTCAGATTTTCTTTGGTTTTTCTCTCATGAATGTACACATGTACCTAGAATTCATTGAATTTATTGAGTCTATAGATCAATTAATACCTTTCAACTTTTTTTTTTTTGAAAATTTACCTCCTTTATCACTTCTGACATAATTTCCCTCCTTCTGGATTTAGAAATGAATCAACGAATAAGTAACTTTTATGTTAGACCTTTTCGTGTATCTTCCGTGTCTCCTGCCCGCTCTTTGCTATTTTTCATTTTTGTTTTCGGCAGGGGCTATTATTTCTGACTTGTCTTCCTCACTGTCTCTTGAGATGTGTTGTCTTAATTACTTTCCCATTTTGTTTCTTATTTCAATTGTTTATATTCCAGTTCTAGGATTTCTACTTGGTTCTTTAAACTATGACTCAGAGCTTTTTATCTTTTCTCATTTCCCATAGAAGCTTTTAAGTTTGCCTTTTATTTCTGTAAACATAATTAAGTGGCTTTGTAGGGTATCCGCTCATTTCCATCTCTGAAACCTGACTGCTTGTGGGGTGTAGTGTCTTTGCGGTTTCTTGGTTGTGAGGCCTACCCCTTGCGAGCCTTAACTTATTAGATGCTGGTTATTAAAACGATGATTAATTGAAATCATCAGTTCTTCTGGACTCATCAACTCTTGGAGAGCTGATTCCGTTATTTCCGCCACCTGACTGAGCAACAGTGACTTTGAGTACCAGTGACTGGGCACACAGTGGGATGTGGCGGCACGTACACCTGCCGCAGCTCTCCAGGGCAGTGGGCTTCACCCCGGTTCATTCTGGTTTTGAGGCTGCACCCCTTCGTGGCCTCCATCTAAAGCGGGGTGGGGGGGGGTCCATCGTTGCCTCTCTTGGGTCCTCTCCCGCCTTCGTGACTGTCCTTATTTTTCAGTGCCACTAAAAGGTTGTACTTGTGGGCCCTCCCTGGTGGCGCAGTGGGTTAAAGCACAGCACTGAGAATCTAAAGCCGCTTCCTCATGAGTTCGATTCCCGCCTGCCCCGGAGGTGACCACATGGCGTGGCCGGACCTCTCCTGACCCGCCCGCTGCTCCCCTCAGCAGTGTACTTCGTCGGTCTGCTTGTTCTGCACTCCACTCTGACTCTGGTGAATTCTCTCACCCTCCACATCTCTGGCCTGTATCCCAGTTCTGTATGCACAAATAGAAATAAAATCTTTAAAAAAAAAAAAAAAAGTTGTACTTGTTTTTCCCTAGATGGCAAGTGCCTTTAAGGCAAATGGTGTTAATATTGGACTTTGTCTCTTTTTCACATTTTGTTGATTTTGGCTGATGATTCTTTCATCTGTTCATACCTCTTTCGTATTTTTGAGAAGTCCCTTCCCCCAGCAGCTGCCCGGGCCTACTGGTTGTGAGCACTTGCTCCGAGCCCGTGGCCGTGGGGTGCGTTCCGCTCGTATCGGGTAAATGTGGGCCCAGATGCTCAGACTTCCCTACTCATCCTCCCCTGGAAAACAACAATAACCAGACGTCAGAACACTGTTTCAGAAAACCCCCAAGCTGGCAGCCATGATTGCCACGGGGAGCCCCAGAATGGGGCACTGTACCTCTCCGCTGCTTGCTTTTCCCATCTAAATCTCATGCATGTGGCTTTGAGCGACACATCCAAAACTCTTCCAGATGCTTGGAGAA